TCCCCCGCAAGCGAACCCTCCGTCCGCCAGCTGCTGGCGTCGGTCGCCCAAAGCCACAGTCGGCTGCGCCACCATTCCATGTTTCAAAGCCAGGGCCGCCGGTACCGTCCCCTGTGCGCGACACTGGCCACGTTCCGCTTGCCGTGGGGGCCAGAGGTCACGTGATGCGCATGACAGAAATGTAGACCACCGGTAGGGAGAAGAGAAAATGCAAATGACTTCGGCTCCCATGTCGCTTTAAGCTTTTCTGTGCGTCGGCCTCAGCACCGGCCTCATCATCTTCGTTGACAGGGAAGCGGTGCCAGGACTGGCAACGCACGACTTTACTGGTGCCGTGAAACTCATTGAATGTATTGGAACATAACGCCTCGGTGGTGCATCTGGCTATAATGCGCGTGGTAGGTAGGCAAGCAGGAAGGGGAAAATCTCAGGTCCTTCATGCCTCCCTCTGGAAAGTTTTTTTTTCAACCGGCTAACGCACAGGAGGCGGCAGCAACTGGAGAAGCATCGCGATGGTTAGGATTGACGCAGTGCAGCCCGCGGTGGTCGGCTCGCGGCACGGCCGGCGTTTAATTAAGTACTTAATTGCAGCAATCCACCATGAGGACACAATCTCGCCCCAGGGCAGCGGAGCAGTCCTGTATTCTCCCAGCCCGATAAACCGGGATGGCCCGCTGTATGCATGCGTGCTGCGGCAGTACTGACAGAAAGATTGTCGGGGCTGTCATAGGCGCAGGACAATGCTGAAGCTGAGGGCCCAAGTCTGTGGAAAAAAACGAATCCTACCCAAAAGCTACAGACTCTCCTTTAAGTTCGATCGCAAGACATAGATGCCTATAAGGAGGTCTGTAAATTGTTATTCCTTTAAACTCAATGCCTCCAGTATGTTCAAGAAGCAAAAAATAGCGGATCCAAACGAATTACGGGCCGCCTCGCCCTAAGCTTCAGAGAGGCCTTACATGCCGCCCCCCCCCCCCCCCCCTCTCCACTACAGACGGCACAGCCGAGACCACAATTATTGCGCCGCCCAGCACAGTGCCACAAGAATCGATCGATGTAAGCCAGTGCTTTGTGCGGTGTTTGTATCAGTGTAAACATTATTACTTGCGTGAGCTGACAGAACTACTCTGGCTCCAGCTCTGGCTCTGGTGTTCTGCGTTCTTCGAACAGGAGTGCAGTGTTTCTGCGCAAGAAAGACAAGCTGGCTCATCGCAATGCTTCTCCAGTTGCTGCCGCCTCCTGTGCGTTAGTCGGTCAAAAAAAATTGCCAGGGAAAAGCCTGAACCTGAGATTTTCCCCGCTTCCTGCTTGCTTAAAACCCTGGCTCTTTTAAGGAAACCAGGCAACAAAACCGACTCCGATCTCCACCAAGCCATGCCGCCTCCACTCTGGTACACGCATATGCATCTGCACCCTGGCGCGGGTACTGTTCGCGGGCACCTGTGTCGCGCAGAAACACTACATTCCTGTCCGAGGGACGCAGAGCATGGAGCACTGCGCTTTGGACGCAAAGCTTATGTGGCAATATCAGGGTCGTCAATTAAACTCCCCTAAACAAGCAGGGAACATCTGCCCGACAGCATGCCAGCCTGACAAGAAGGCCCAAAGCACGTTTTTTCAATAACCAACTCAGGAATTGTCCGTGCGTCTGATCACTCAACATCCTCCGCATAATCAACCGCTGTATACCTCAGCCTTCCGTTGATGCTGAAAAGCGATTTCAACAGCAATTCATCCTCATCCAGACCGGATCGCGTTTTCAGAGCAGAGTTAAAGGCCTCCTACGATCAGACCAGACCGGTGCTCTTCGACCGACTGGGAACCCGATCCATAATCCAGCCCGAGGCGAAACAAGACCGGCGCTCCCAGCAGCCTGGGAAATACACGGCAGCATTGGTCTGAAGTGGTCGCGACGGCAGAATTGGGCGGGGCTGACTGCTCCCCTGACTCCCCTCCGCTCTGGACAAGACGTTCGCCAGGAGGACTGGTGCCGTTGGAGAACTGGAGCACCCGACACGGGGGGGGGGGGGGGGCTCATGGATGACTGTCATACACCATTCTTAGCTTCGTCTTAACCTGACGCGCCACACGCATGACAAACATGCATTAGATGGTGACGTGTTTGTTATCGTTTTGTATACAGACGCTAAAAACGAAGGCGTTTTTGACAAACGTCACAGACGCGTAAGTGCTGATCATGCATTGATCAAGCCATCGCCTGCTCTCTAGCCTTTCATGCCGTGTGCAGCCACATGTGCTCCGACTGGTGGAGCCACCTGTATACATCTTATGATGCTCAAAGAACAATCGATGCGCGGCGGCATTCTGTAGCCTGGAAATGTGATATACACGGCTGAACGTAAGTCGTGGACCATCCCCGTTACACAGTCCCATTCCAGCCGACAACGTAATTTCGCTGACGAGCCAAGCCCACTTCATGTAAGGTTCAAACACTGCAGATTCACGCGTGCCACTCCATAGGCATCTTCACTTATGTTGACTACCAAATCATGGAGAGCGGCCAATTGAGATGCTATGATGAATGGCTTATCCACGTGCATATGTGTTTGTAATGAAATGCGACGAACGGCGAGTGCATCCTTTGATGGAGCGCAGAGGTCACATTAGCCCGCAGGGGGCATCATAGGAGGACAGTGAGTACCGCAGTACCCATTACTGCTAATTATATGGATCGAATGGCAAACATTGCGGTCCATGACAACGCGGCGTATGTTTGGAAACGGACGAAGAGTGAGGGAAAAGTCAGTGTCGTAAATCTATCGGCGTGTGCATGACTCAATGAATCAGGGCGTGCCACCACTTGCGCTAAAAGCCGTTGGAGCCAGTTCTGCACCTGCGCTGCCGCATCGTCGGGTTGCGGGGATAAAGGAGACGCACGTGGTGCCAGCATTGCGCCAAAGGAACGAAGACGATAATTTTCCGTGTGAGCACTCCTGTGATGATCCAGGGCCCACCACCTGAGTCGGGTGGGTCAGCGCCCGGCCAATTTTTGGGGTCATTGCTGTGCTTGTGTCACGTATTCAAGGAATTCAGAGGTAGATACAGGGATCCGAGTCGTGAATCCTGAATCCAACATCCTCCTACACGGCAAGATCTGCCTAATCAGTGTCAAATGAGTTTCCAAGAATCCAGAATCAATCTTCACAAAGGAATCCATTTTTGTAGAGGGCTCTGAAGCAGGGATAGCTTTAGCTGTCTCCTTTCAAATATGTAACTATGCCAGCGTAACGAAAGGCTATTTAAGGGGTGGTCGTCCTCTATATCTTCGTCCAGAGACACCTGAATTCCCCACGTGGCAATGTACTCACTGCGTTCGAACAATTCCTCTCACGCACTAGCATTACAGTGCTAGGTTTTACGAGCAAGCCCGCATCGGAGGAATTATTGCATGGGCAAAACTTCCACTGCATCCACGGCCATATCCCATGCTATTGTTATAGTGCATTCTGCTGCATTCTGCCATGTTGATGTGCTTTGTGTTTTGTGTGTGATAGCGGCCGATATTATTGTGCGCGGGTTTCGCATGTCTGCCGCTGTTATGTGGACGCATTTTTTGCACACCATCCTCACAGCAAAGCCGTAATATCATAAATATCGTTCGTTGTTGTTGCGCCCTTGGGTATAGGTCAATTTGACCACCCAAAGGTTATTCTAGAATGGTTTTCCGAACAGCAAGGCGTAGCCGTGCCAAATTTTGCGCGACTGTAGATAATTGAATAGCAGACGTATGATATTAAAAGTTTAGACGTACCTTGCCAGGTCGTTGACCTAGGCCAGGTTAAATTCAGGCCATAGATTCAGCGAAGACAGTTTGTAGCGAATCGTTTAATGTGGTGCAACAACGGAGTATTAGACGAAGCCATACATCCCTAGGTTGCTTCTCAGGCAAAACAACAATTGGATGAATACATTCCATTGATTTAGGGGCAGGTATAAAGGTCGGACCGAGGCTAAAACTAACCTGTTTGATTACTCTAGAGTTTGCTGAGTGGGAGAGTTTCTGGTGCTTATTTCGAATTTATTGATAACAGGAAACGCATCATACATCTTCGATGATTTTCTCAAAGGTCAGTGTATGCAAACGACCTAAGATGACCCAGGTCAATATCTTGTTGTTAGAAGCATATTGCTTAGCGCAATATCTGACGTCCGCGCATAGATTTCTCCATTCTGCACGTGCGCATCAAGCACTTGCACCGCTACTGTGCTGAGCACCCGAGCTCTGTTTCCACCCGACACTGATTTGTACGAAGCTGTTGCGCACGTCCACCAGCACTGAACACGTCCTGACTCGCTACGGCGGATATCTGATTCGCTGCGGAATGACACCATATGGTGACAGAATAGCGTCAGCAGGCTCCGACGCCAAGGCCGAATCCAGGGAGCGGGAGGGGGCATCCAGGCTGAGGCCGTAGCCAGAATTATCAAATTATCAAAGACGGACAAAATGATTCTTGACTACAAATAAAACGCTGGCAGCCTGCACTGAGGGGAACTTATCTGCTTGATTTTTCTGAAATTTTTGTTCGTTGCTTGGATTGACCGATGCGCGGAACACCAGCGCGTTTCTCGGTCCTACCTGTCTGCGCCCGTTAATACGACCCGCGTGTTGGTGTCACGGCCGACGGCGGTGTTCGCGAGGACGGCACGACAGGCGAGCCTCGACAGAGCTGCGGTCGCTCCAGCTGCCCGGGGCGTCACGAGGTCAGCAGTACACCCCACCCCGACCAACGGAGGCTGGGCGGGACCCCGACTGCCTGAGCTTTACAGCTCCTGTGATCCCATGATCGGCGGTGGTGAACGCTGTATCGGGATCCTATGGACAGCAAGCAGACCTCGAAAGAAAAACATGAGGACGAACCTGTGCAGCCGCGACCGCTGCGTAACGCCTTTCATCCTTTTGAGCACGTTCCACTAACGTGACACATGAACTGGCACTCGGCACGCGACGGAGGTGTGTCGCGGCGGGCTCGTCTCACCTCTGGCCGGTCGGTGTCGGCCTCGGCCTGCGACAGAGGTGTGTCGCGGCGGCTCGTCTCGCCTCTGGCCGGCCGGTGTCGGTGCGCCTCTGCGCCGCTGGTGCCGGCCGTGCAGCGCCACTGGGTCGGGCGGGTCGCGCCGGCCGACTGCTGCGACCTCGGCCGGTCGTCGGCCACCGGCGCGCGCTCGATCCACCGACGGCGGCAAAAAATCGTCCGCCGCGCCGCCGCACTGCCTCCCCCTTTGTGTCGGTGCCCCCCTCCCCACCCCCTTATTTCCGGCCGAGCTTCGTCTCCCTGAATATGTGTCCGCGGGAGGGGGAGGAGGCGTGGTCTTAGCCAGCTTCGTCTCCCTGAATATGTGTCCGCGGGAGGGGGAGGAGGCGTGGTCTTAGCCAGCTTCTTCTCCCTGAATATGTGTCTGCGGGAGGGGGAGGAGGCGTGGTCTTAGCCAGCGCGAAGGTCGGTTAAAAGGGGCAATCAGGGCATATCGTTTTCTGCTTACAATTGTTTGGTCCTCTCCAATTAAATTTCCATCATTCATCCTCATTCTCCCTTTCTCCCTCTCTCTAACTCTCTCTCGCACTTTCTCCCTTTCTCTATCTCTCCCGATATCTTGCCCTGCATTTAGCTATACATTCCCACGATGCATATCTCGCCAGCCCTTGATTTTCCACCATTCCCTCTGATGCGTGTGCAATCTATATGTAGCCTCAGTCGCAATTCCCTGTCACTTTGAAGCGCTGTGCATCTTCACCTAACGGAGGGATAGAAATATGTGGAAAGGAGGCAGCTGGCTGGCTGCAGCCTGTTTTGCAGCATTGAATGAGGAGCCGAGCTCACCAGCAACGTGTGGCAACGAACGGCGGCCATGCGCAAACTCCGATTCAACGTGTGGACTACACTTGAAGTGCGCACTTGCATAGGCTGAATAGCATCTGCATATTTATTTGTACTATTTATAATTACCTGTATTACTGCTGATAATAGTAGTACCGATGTGAAGCGTGATTGGCCCGGCAGCCCGCTCCTCTCCGCGCCGTACCAGTACGTGCGGGAAGTTCCAGTGTGACTGGGGATGTCGGCGAGGAGGGAGGGTGCCCTGACTGTGCTCACGTCCTGCTCGGCTCGGCCAGCGCTCAGTCTGTTTATCTGGAGCACCGCGGCGGCCGGGAGAGGAAAGCCCTGTCCCTCGGCCGGCGAGGCAGGGGCTGGACATCCACCAGCTGCAGCGGCGAACACCGAGGAGGGTGATCCCCACTCAATCCGCCCGTAACAACAAGCACAGTGCCAACCAGCAGCCAGAGCCAGGCGAACCTACATTAACCGATTTTGACACACTAACCACTCGGCCATCATTGATCCCCGTGCAGATAACCTCGGGTGGATATCACATTCGCCGTGGTCTCCAAATCCATGCCTCAGATCGGGATCCGAGGGCAATGCAGACGGCGCGGGAATAGCAAATAATGCACATAGCACGCCCTAGCCCTGCCTTCGCACGCATTCATTCTGTGCTGATGCAATGCACCCGCATCAGTGCCAAATTCACGCGGCAGGCCCACTAGGTCAGCGGCGGCGGCTGTTTGGCTGTTGTTTGCGGCGCTCGTCGCCCCGTGTCCGTCTGCAGCCGGTGTCGCGGCTGCGCCACATCTGTCGCCCTGCCGCACCTGTCAGCTGAGCGCGACCTTGACAAGGTCGCCCGTCACCGCCTGCTGCACGCGGCTGCCGTCAGCTTTGGCTCGCCAGTGTTTGCACAGATTCGGCGCGTCGTGGTGAGGACGGCCACGGTCGCCGTCCCACTTTCCCTGGGTTAAGGTCGTACCAGGCGATGAGCTGAATTACAATGCGCTCCAGTTGCTGTACACGCCATTGATAGCCTGATAGCGCGGGGCAGAGGTGTCGCAACACTACGCGAAAAGCGTGGATCGCTATGACACGGCTGTCAACAGCCAGGTGTGAGCCTTCAATTAGCGTTTGAAATCTTTTTTTGGGACGTCAGGCTCATACGGTTTTTGTGCAACGTATTGAGTTGCTGCTTTTACCATAAGGCGGCCTGCAATTCATTAGGTTTTGTGATTCAAGTGTGATGTTTCGGACGCATAGCAGACCATCGCCGTGCATCATGCGGATGAATTGTAACAGGCTTTAAAGCTTCTGTGCCGAAAGCGTGCGACGATACGAGATACGGTATCACCTTTTGTTAGCAGCCTAGCATTATCATGTCGTCATTTTGTTTAAGCGACGACACCAGTAGCTAACGACTTGGTCATCCAGTTTTGCCGCATGCTCAGCTGTCGAATCACGTGATTAAATGACGTCAGCCATGAAAAGCTGAAATGGTCAAATGAGCTATTTCGCGTAAGCCATCATGCAGCGTTTTGTTACGCCTGCCCTTACAATTGTACCATTGTGCTGATCGCATATATGTGCACTGAGCAGCTACAGTTCGTTATCATGCGTCTCTTGGTCACCGACAGCGCTCCCTGCGCCCGCAGATCTTCTACTGGAGATACACCTGTCCGCCCCTCATTGGTCTGGTTCTGGGGTCGGGGAGACCGTCCATTGCAGGCACAATGTAATTTATTTACACGTTTTGCGTACACTTTGCAAGAACTAGCCAATCGACAAAAACATCGCCCGCCAAACAGACTGTAAGTTAGCAAAGCTCGCCCACTCAGGATTCACCACATGAGTGAATCCTTTGAAATTCTCTGAACTTCTCTGAAAACTCACATGAGTAGGAAGACAGGGGAGGGGACGGTCAGACCAGGGATCACAGGCCGTTTTCCTTAGTACATCGTCTTGCTGCAATGGTTTTGGCGAGTCACGTCCGAAGGATCCTGGCCATGACCGGACCGACGTCACCGGATCACAGGTAACGTATGGTGTCGTCAGCCAATCAGATGAGCGCGAGCTTTCAAGACATGGGATCGAACACATCCAGTGAAGTGGGCGCCTCGGAGGAGCTACACGTCTGCGGGAGTCGTCACGTGACCAAACACATCCAGTGAAGTGGGCGCCTCGGAGGGGCTACACGTCTGCGGGAGTCGTCACGTGACCAAACACATCCAGTGAAGTAGGCGCCTCGGAGGGACTACACGTCTGCGGGAGTCGTCACGTGACCAAACACATCCAGTGAAGTGGGCGCCTCGGAGGGGCTACACGTCTGCGGGAGTCGTCACGTGACCAAACACGTCTAGTGAAGTGGGCGCCTCGGAGGAGCTACACGTCTACGGGAGTCGTCATATAGTCAAAGGCTCTTGACTAGCATGTCCCTACTGGATGACTCCGTATCAGAGTATCAGGGTACAGAGTATCGGGAAGCGTTGCCTCCCCATACTCTGGCCGTTTTTACATGGAGCTTCGGGTAGCACGGGCAGCTTCGGGCACCACGGTTACTTCGGTCTAGTCCACGGTTACTTCGGTCTAGTTGCCCTTTCTATGTCCTGTTCTTGTTGTATCCTCAATCGTGGTTTGATAGTATAGTATGACAGTTGCTGTAGCGAGCACCCACCTGACAGTCAACAACTTTAATAAGAAATGGCGTAATGCTGCCATGCTTTTTAGTGACAGAATGCCCGTTAAAAAGCTTTCCCACAAGGTTTTGCGGATCCTTATCCGTCAGTTTGTTTCGTTAATGGACATTAAAATCCTGCCTGAAGCACAGGCTTCGATTTTCACGATGAAAGGTCGAGAGGATCATTAAATGTTTGAGAGCGCCCTTTCCATGCATCGCCATATACATCAAACTGCAACATGAAATTACTGGGGCCGAGCCGCCCAAAGTATGCAAAATGAGCACCATCGTACTTTCTATCTGGCCACGAGCTCACTGACAATGGTGGAGTTTTGTTCAGTTACGATCAGCTCAGTTCAGTGCTTCAGATTAGTTCGATTATGTGGGCCATTGACGTCATTCAAACCGAGCATTCTGGCAGGACGTAATTGGGCAGCAACTCCCTCATTTCGGGAGGGGCACGTACTGTACAACTTTCACCCAGCTGCAACTCCGGTTTGATGGTTGGTCGCCACACCTTCACCTGCTGAACAGTTTTGGAAGCGTGCCTGCAGTGCTCGTGCTTAGGTGCTCTGCCCACCGCCAGCGCACCCGCTATATATGGAAAAACGCGGGCCGGGGGGACGGACCCGGACGCCCCTGTGCGTGCGGACAGCCGGAGTGGGCGGATACCGTTTCCGCTGCTGTGCGCGGGCGGCGCTCGTCTGGGCGCGGCATTGATCGCAGCTAGCGAGCGCGCGGCCGGCAGCAGCCATGTTTTTTTCCAAGCTCCGTCGCCACTATCGACCAACGACCTTGACTGACATTGGATGGCGGCGAGCGGAGGCCGATGACGCGTCTCGACGTTACACTTACTGCTGTTCTAGCCGGCTTGCTTAATTGCAGCAGAGGACTGGCGCGACCGTGCGTATTGTTCCCGTCTCGGCCACCCACCTGTGCTTCCCTGGAGAGAAGGAGAGGCGGTCAGCACACAAATAGCAGACCAGCGGTCGGGGCGCGTCGCGGCACGTGTGCCCACGCGCGCTGTCGGGGCCGTTTCCGGAAATACCTCGAGCACTATTCGGCTGGTGCTGTGACTGTTCTGATGTCCCAAGCATAATCCACAGAATGCTGCAAGTGTCTTTGGAGGATGCAGAAATGGTTGAAGTTGCTCACTGTCATATACACCCTTCACACACACACACACAACACACACACACACACACACACACACACACACACACCACACACACACACACACCACACACACACACACACACACACACACACACACACACACACACACACACACACACAACACACACACAACACACACACACACACACACACAACACACACACACACACACACACACACACACACACACACACACACACACACACACACACACACACACACACACACACACACACACACACACACACACACACACACACACACACACACACACACACACACACACACACACACACACACACACACACACACACACACACACACACACACACACACACACACACACACACACACACACACATATATATATATATATATATATATATATATATCCATATATGTATATAT